AAAGATAACATTAGGGATATTTGTCTGTATTTATTTAAAATAATGATGTCATAAAGAAAAACATGTATTGCATTTAAATTGATGTCGACATACTGTATGCTGTTAATATGTTTAATTAGCTGTTAACAATATCTGAACATGTCCTCTGGACAAAAGTAAATCCGGTGAGGTAAAACATTCTCAGATAATGTTGAGGGTAACACTTTGTTAAAGTTTTGCCTTGTGCACCAGACACGCTTGGACAGAGGAAGTTACAGCTTAAAGAAATGCGACCTGATAGTTGTCTAAATCACAACATAGTGTGGCCCTTTATACATGTACATCCATCACTGTGGCTGATTTGGTACATTATATTTATTTTCTTATAGCAATACTTGTTTTCATTTCATTTGAAAAAGGAAAGCAAGCCTTACTTCCAAAATGAAAACGTTTAATTTGTTCCCCACATACCCATTCCAGTTAACAGCAAGGCCTATTTAAAGACAAACAGCAGCACTTGATGAACAAAGACTTGTGAAAATTGATTTGGTTGAGTATTTCAGTTAGGATTCCACCATGTCATTTAGCGGTGTAAACAAAGTGCTGGGCTCTTATCAGACGGGATGATATGCTGTGAAAAGGAAGACTATCCATAGCAGAGACAACCTGACAGGCGTGATAACACACTCTCCACACTCAACATGATCAAACAACAAACAACATAATAAATGGCAGCAAAGCAAATCTCCGAATGTGGTTGATTAGATCTTATATAGCCTGTCTTTTTAAACACGAGATTAGTAAAGGGAATTCATGGCAATAATATTTGAGTCACCCATTCAAAACTGGATCGCTCCAATGTCAAGTTTAGGCATGCTAGAGTTCTGGACTAAGTGATTCTAAATTAACTTTCTTAGGCAAAACACCTGTAGTGATATTACTGATTAGATTGTAGCTAGACGTGTTCTATGAGATAAGCTTTGAATTACCATTGACATACTATAGCTTTTTCTATATCTCATTCAACTGTGGATACTTCACAATTTTCCTGTAGTATCTATTACTGACCATTCAACAGAGGATACTTTAATTTTGTATAGTGATTTTCTACTATGCAGGATCCTATTGTTTTGAGAAACACACAGGTGTGTTCACTTGTTTGGGTTGATTAGACCTCGGCTCAGGTAGACATCAGGATATGCACGTGATATTTCCTTAAGTGAGCCCACTGATTGGAAGTGTTCTAAAATGGGAAACAGCTGTTGTGCAATTGACTGTATAAATATATTCAGCTACAATATATTTACAGTCTGCCAAGAGCGAAAGAAAAGAGAAGCAAAAGCATGAATAACTGCAATCATGGCAACGAAATGTGGATTTGCAGTTACCATTTTTTACCTGTACAGTAAGTTGACCTCAATATCTTGAACACACATAACATGGCTTAACTGCAACATCTTAAAAAAGGTTTAACATTTGGTTTCATTTTGAGTAACAAGGTCCAAAACAATGATTGTTTGCTAGTCAAGTTTTCCCCATATGTAGCCTACTACATGCTAATGTTGTTAGCATTTTTAATTTGCATAGCCTAGTAGCTAGTTCACTTATCCTCTACTTGAAGCATAGCAAATCATTATATCCTTTTTACTTACCACTGGGTGGTTTCAGTCACAGCTTATCCCAACAGAAGAGCACAACCTACTGCATAGCTGCATGCATGTTTTTACAGCCTTAAACTCATCAGCTATTGCGCGAGCCACAGAAAGGCGAGGAAAAAGCTTCCACTGTCACAGGTGCAAAGCTAAAAAAGAGATTGTCCATCAAGATCAGTCTATGTATCGCAGTGATCAAAGGAGGTTTAATTAGGCAAATTAAGTGAAAAAACCTGTGTACCCAGGGTGTATATGACACCCAATTTAAGACTATACTACAATGAACACACGACAAAAAAAAAGACAGTAGGCCTACTGATTGCGCGTAATAATATTATATGTTAAAAAGGACCTATGTCTTTACATTTGTTGGCTAACATATTCAAAACTACAAGTATTTAATATCAAAGTTTGTTTATGAAAATGTCATTTCAAAGTTAAACAGGACTCACTGAGGCAGAATTTCTCAAGGGCAAATAATGAGGTGTATCTTGCCATCCAGGTGGCCATAATCTTCTCACGTACAGAACAATTTAACAATCATTATCTTAATACAGTAATGCCTCAGAGGAAGCTGTGCTCTGACAAAATTAACAGTCTCCAGCCTGGAGTCATCTCAATCTCTCTAGGTAGGGGGCTTTTGTGAAAATACCTTTTATTACATGTAGCAGCGTGTTCTCTACTAAACGTCAGGCAGAAACTGAGATAACTATTATGTTCATAAAATGTTATAACCTAACTGTGAAAGAATCTTAAGAATCTCAGTTGTTAAATATTATATTGAATTGTTGTGTTTTCAGAATTAAGCCCTATGTATTGATACTGAACTAATTATGGATATACATAATGTTCTTGCCAACCTGTGAATTCAAAGCCAAGCATGGTTACAACACACTAACGTTGTGACTTGTGAGTCAAAGGTGCACAGTTAACATTTTTACAGCCGTTCCAGATTGACTGATTGATTGATTTTCCTTGACAGCACACTTCTGCTGAATATCTCCTCCATCTACAGCGGTGATGGTGATCTTGGTGCTCTGTGGGGGGTGCCAGTGAGAGCAAAAGCTTGAATCAGCCATCCTCTAAAAAATCAATGCAAAAAGCTGCATCATTTTGATGACGATTTCATAGCCAGATCCCTTTGAGTCTTGCAATCTGAAACCAATACAGCCCAAACAGCAGTTTACTGACTTCAAACTTCTTAAAGATCCAGCTGTATCTCATTGAGATGCATTTGACCAACACAAAAAATAATCTCATGTGGTGCTTCTATTTGACTCATCCGTTTCCCAAAGATGTATTGCTTTCTTGAATGTTCATGCCTGAATCTCACAGGCGGGAAAAAGCTATTTGAACAATGTCAGAAGTGTGAAACAAAGACATCACCTCCTGAATTACTGGGTATCTGCTGCTCGACAAGGGTTCAAGGAATGATGTAATCATCATAGCTGCTGCCGACTTCACAACGGAGGAAAGTGAGAAAAAAAGTAAATATAAAGTATTAATAATAGTAAAGATGGTGAAATATCCTTTTGAAGACATTCTCGTTCAAACTGGGCAGTGAGTGAGTAGATCTTTTTGTTAATAACTGTCTGCAATATCAGTTGGGTTGACATGAGGGATTATCTGATGTGTTGCTGTGAGAGGAGGCACACAGGCGAGAAAGAAAAGGTGATTGTTTTTTATTGTTCTCCTAACAGCTGACATCTCGACCAATTTTGTCTGTGAAATCCCCAATCTGTTATGTTCTGTTTGTTTGTGTTCGGCAGCACTAAAACGCCTCCGTGTAATAGTATTGAGTTTGATCCCAGCCCCCTTCCCAGACTAACACTGTTTCCAATGTTTTTCTTTTTATGATCATGAGGTGGCTGGATCACGACGTGAATTGGACGTGAATTGGACGCAAAGGTTAAGAAACACATGCATTCATAACCCTGCACTATTTAATCTCTTCAATAAGCATGCAAACTCAACATTGAATTGTCCTCAACAGCATACGCAGCAGGAACATGGAATTATTCTTGCCAAATTCAAAAGCAATACGAGCGTGATGTAGCAAGTTGAGAACTGTTTATGCCTCACCACCTAACAAGACAATTTCCTTTGTCAACTGAGTTATTATCAGATTTTTCAATTCAGAGCTGCACTGCTCTGTGGTTGACAACGACTGCAATTGTGCCCCTGAGGTCCCAGACCAGTCAATATGAAAGACTAAAGTACACTAGAAAGCAGACATCAGTGCAATCATTCAATCTGTTGCAGAGAAAACAGAGAGTGGGGCTGTAGCAGCTGTCTAGAAGAACAGGGAGCAGCATCACTCTTATTGAACTGAGAGAACAATAAAATATAACCTGGGGGGCAGATCCTGCTGTGTCCCGCACAATCAATAAAACTATTTTAATCCTATCCGAAGCTGCGTATGTGCACATGGAGGGACACGAAGGAACGATTACACTTAAAATGGTGTAACCATAAGTACATAGGCTACACGAACACACTTGGTGGACTGCAAGCTTATGCAAAAATAAAATCACATACAGGAGCAATGACCTGCATATAAGAACACGTTCACACTGTACCCACATGCAGACGTGTTGCCGTGTAGGACTTTACATTGTACATTTGCACATTCATGCACATTATTTCACTGAATAAATGCATCTATGACAGCTCGTAATCTTTGACTGTATTTTTTAACATTTCCTGCAACATCTCTGGCACAAAACATGCAAGAAAGTCTGCAAAACTAAAAGAGAGCACACATGTTCTCAGATTGTCACCCACGTAATGATTCAGTCTTTGTCTGATCTGCTGTCTGCTTCTGTCTATCTGTGTGTGTCTAAAGTAAAACTGTAATGTAATTATAGCAGCTGGTTTACATAAACACTGTTTCATTTTATTCAGATTTTGGATCAAAAATGAGCTGATGGAATCAATTGAACTCTATTGAGAAATAAAGTTTAATTCAAGATTCTGTCATGGTGCAGTTTTGTGCAGAGACATTATGCAACAGAACACTTAATTGAAGATTATTAAAAGAGAAATGTTTTATATTGCACATGATTATATTTCATAAATACAACAATTGCAACAGAGAAAGCCAGACATATGTGTTGTTGTGCACTAACTACATCGATCTGAGTGATGTTTTTCTGCCGGGATTTAATCAGTTTATTTACTCACTTTTGCGGAGACTGTTACATGATCGGTCCTTACAAAAATAACAATGCATGAATCCTTAGCAGAGCCTACATTGAATATGTTTTGAATAACCGTAAACGTGGAATAAACATTGTAAGAGTAAACAAATTGCCAGGATAAAGGTTAAACAAGTACACATTCGTCTTAGGAGTGGATCGTCAAACTCACCTTGGTTGCAATGGCTGAAGCGAGTGAGGACAATTCCAAGAAAGAGTGAAGCGAGGAAAAATCTGTTTCCAAAACTCATGTCTGCTGCAACATTTATCACCGGCTTTATAAGAGGTACTTCTAGCCGAGAGGTAACGCGGACAGAGAAAAAGCGCGTCTGGATCCTCGACGAGCACTGGTCCTCACATTCGGTCCCAGTGGGAGAGAACTGCCGAGTGACGGAACAAAAGGAGATCCATCCCTTACCTGGAGGCAGCGGCGGCGATGGCGAGGAACCGAGAGATTGTGGATAACAATATTTAAAGTAAAATAAAAAATGTCAGACAAGTGCGAAACACCATGCTCCTAGCAACTTTGCAGATTTCCCATGGACTTCAGTCGCCGATATTGTATTGTTTGAAAGATCAATACATTTTCCTAGTCAATCTGGTCTCTTTAGCGCACAGGTTCGTGACAGATTTAAGAAATCCTGTTGGCTGATCGATGATCCGCGGACTACCGGCTCCCTGTCTGCAGCCCGGTCCGCTGCAGCAGTGTTGGTAAGCAGAGAGAGGATGCAGCTATGAGACTGTGCGCATCTGTGCAGGATGCTCGGCACTAGAGGGGGTAAGCTGACAAGGCAGTGGCGTGTGTGCGTGTGTGTCTGTGTTGCCTCATTGGTTCAAGTGCAGGGCTTCCCAAATTTCTCCACAAGGACCTCTAAATGATGGAATAGACCTGTGATATGATTTGATCCTATGAACCATGTCTGAGAACATTCAGTTAGTAGCCTACATGTTTGGTGCAGGATGTTTCCAGGATTGTAAAAGAAGAAGGTTATGATCTAAATGGTTCAGAGAATTAAATAGTGAATTTAAACTGTATAGCTACTTTCCGGGGATACCTTTCAAATCGAACGAAAATGAAAAATACATTTTCTTTCATTAAACCAAAAATTAAACTAAAGAATAGTTTAGGCCTTGCAAGACATGCATTATGTTGTTTTCTGCATCCTCATCAGCAGTTTAAGATACACCATGTAGGCTACCTTAGTTTTAATCAGTAAAGCAGTGGTCTAGACTGTGGTGATGATGAAACCTGGGTACAAATAAAGGGGCTCCATGCACAAAGACAGAGAAAAATGAAAGAAACCCCTGTTAGTTATTTTGGCAGCAGTGATTTATTTGGATTTGCCAATATTTTGCTAACAGCCTGTGAGTCTTGCATACAAATAAACAATGTAACACAGGTCTACAGTCAATATCCAATTCAGTGTAAACAACTCACATGAAGAAACCTCCACTTAAGGTCATAATGCACTGATGCCTTAGTGACAGTGATTTGATCACACTTATTGTAGTCACTGGAATAAAGCCCATTGGTAATGATGACTTTTATTTTTTCATTGAGCAGCATTTATCACTCCAAACTCCAAAAGCATTTTTAGAAAAACTGTTGGTTATCTCTTGAAATATGTATATAATATACAGATAATAAATATGTAACCAACAGTTATGATATGTAGACATCTCATGGCATATATTGAAAACAAACTTTATCTCAGAGGAAGACAAGGTACATATCCACAAATTTGCAGTGCGAGAATGAGCTGCTCTGCTTGCCAAGCGGACAATGTCAGCCAAGATAAGGGAAGGTCTTCTTCTCATCTTCATGGACGTCTCATCGAGTGAGTAAGCAAACCCTCCCCAACCTGACCGGGTTAAACAAAGCAACGGTGGCTGCTGTGATGAGACCCAGTCAATCAGGACATAGGAACAGCTTCCCGTCAGCACAGAGGAGGTAAATACATCAACATCACAATCCGTCACCACCACTTAGCTCCCCGATCATCAAACAATGCGGAGAAGCTGTCAACTGACAACTGACTTTGTGCGGTGCAACGTGTAAACACATTGGAGGACGGAGGGTTGTAGAGTAGAATATATTGACCACGTCGGCGTGTTCGTTTCTATTGAGGCTGGAGAGAGTCCGCACAACCTGAACAATGGATAAAGCCATTATCATCACTAAGTAGAGGGAGAGAGCTAAACATTTTTTGTATACATGTTAGCAAAAAAAGGGTTATAGATATTTTAGGCTGGTGGAAAAGGTGTGTGTTGTGTTGACATTTTTGTACTTTTCTTAGCACTTTAACATTTTCAGCACTGTCTAATGCCTTTATACCTCAGCAACAATTTGTTATACTGTCTGCAAATGTTTGCCTTTTTGCCTCACTTTATTTTCAATATATTTCTTCAATAGTAATACGTCTGTACATCAGTTTCCTCTTTTACTTCTATCTTTGTTATTATTTCTCATAGGAATAAATGATCTACTACCACCGCACTGCTTATGCTACTAATACTTCTACTAAAAATGCAAAAAAGAACATATTGCTGATGACTTGAATCATTCCTCATCCCCGTAGAGGGTGATAACTGAGAATGATGATAAAAGAGGGCAAACTGTTGAGAAGAGGTCCTCCACCCCCCTGCAATGATTTGGTTTCCTTTGCTGTAATGTTGGTCAATGAGGTGTGACTGTAGTGCAGAGGGGCCCTAACCGTGAGCTATGATCCCCCGTGTCCAGAGAGAACAAGCTCCGTCCATCTGTACTCATCACAAGCATAGAGCTGGAACGAGACCACATCAGCACAACTGACAGAGACAATGAGACTTTATAACGCTAATAGCATCACTAATGTCTTGTTCAACCCAAACAGAACTGCCTCACACGTGGATTTAATCCAAACTGTTTAAAACGTAGGCTAAAAGGAACATTTCACCATTAATGCCCTGAAGCATTGATTAGTGTATTTTTAGAAATTCAAACAACATGGCACTAGGAATGGTAAGGTTGGTGTAGAGGCCGGTCGGTCGGTCGGTCGGTCCACCACCTAACAACTATTGGATGGATTGCCATGACATTATTTTTGTACTTATTCCCCAGAGGATGAACCCTAATGACGTTGATGATCTCATGATTTCTGCCATGATATTTGGTCAAGAAAGTGACATTTCTCTGACTTTTTATCAGGTCAACATTTGTATTAGTCCTAAATCAGTTTAGTTTCAGTTTTCAACATCATCATGTTAGCATAGTCAATGAGTCCATTTTGGCATTTTGACAAAGCAACATTGTTCTTCAGTGCAACCTAAACCTAACCCTAACCCTTAATTAACAGAGGCAGTATATGCTAAGTCTTGTTAGGTCTCCTTGATATGGCTGTATGACGTCTCTTAATAAAAAAGAATGAAACCACAAAGTATGAATTTATCTCAATAGTAGTAATCTTGGGTGTCTTTCTGTAAATACAGTGAAACCTGCATCACACCAAGCATAGCGATTTATACACCTAGACCATCATTTGATTAGTAGGGGTTTTTTAAATCATGTGTTTCAACTTGTTAAGAGATGTTTAATTGGGTACTAAAAATTATAAATTTCTAGGGGAATCGATAAAGGAATGTTGTTACAGAAAGAAACATTGTCACATTCACAAACAGTGAGTAACAGCTGCAACCCACAATTCAGTCAAACTCTGTTGAAGCCAAGTAAAGAGAAAGTAATTAAACTGGCTGTGAAGCTGTCCTTTCTAACGACTTAAAAGCAGCTACACAGTGTTTTTTTTAGTTTGGAAAAATAAAAATGGACCTCTGAATCGTTGTGGTAATTACCAACTAACCAACTGTCAAATATAGAAAATGCACAATACAACCTTTGCTGAGTAGATCTGTGAATTTCAATGTGTGTTCCTTCACTCATCAATGCTTTAATGAAGTTTTAACATATTTGTTCCCATTGTAGGGAAACATTCTGCCTCATCCTCCAAAAACGTTGAGACTGAAAGGCTTTGAGGTGCAACAGTAAACCCATTTTCCTGTTGTTGATTATTTCATTGGCCCTGAGTGAACATACCATTTTTCTATTTGAAGCTTCATCTTTTGCCTAAGGGCAAGACGGCATTGAATAATTTCAAATAGCACACAAAATTGTGACATTGGGACAAACATTCGTTCAAAAACAAATCATGATTACGGTGCTTCAGAATTGCCTGCAGCAGTTTACAGTCTGCCTTATCTTCCGATTTGTTTTTTAAAATCAAACTCAGCTTTTGATTTACATGATGCGTTGGTATGGAGATGTGGTCTGTAAACACAGGCCCTGAGGCTGAAGCACATGAAGAACATTGACCTACTGCTATTACAGTACAAATAAAACATAAAAGTGTTTCATCGGACAACAACGGTGCTATGGGTGACTGCTGACTTGGCTCTTATAAATGTATGTATGTGTATGTTTGTAAAACATTTCACAATGATATGTCTCATTCCATTTTAGTCTATAAAACCCATGCCAGGATCTATAGACCTAACATGAAAAACCTTTTCCAGTAAATCATTCCAAGTGGGCGCCTTTTTAAATAATTTCTAATGTAGCATCAGAACATGATGTCAATTTGGTTTAAGTACATGATTTATTATACACAGAGCTCAGAGTCTATATTTACAATGTACTTTGAAGTCCTTTTACTTTGAGGATATATGAGTATTCATGTTAATTACATATCCACTTTTTTTTACTTCATCAAACCTTTGAAATATCAACCAATGGCCCAACTATCACATGTATCTCCTGTATTCTTCTGAATTTAGTGTCTCTTGCATAAATCTGCATCTTAATCTTGATTAAACCATAATCTGTGTCTTGCATGTTAATGTTAAACTGTACAGTGAAGTACATTTATCTCAGGTTTCTGTCCTTGTTAGGGCTTTTAGTTTCTTAAAGAATAGAGATACAAGCGCTTCCAATCCCATTTCCCCCCAAATGACTTGTAGTGTCTATCATACTGCACACGGACATGCACACTCTGATACACACTTGTGCTGCACCTCTTAGGTTGCCCACCTCCCTGGCTGCCTAATGGGCCATAGGCTCTAATCTGGATGGCCGCGGTGCTCAGGAGAATGAGCAGAGCAAATAGAGAGAGCAGCTCATCAGGCCTGCGAGCCGCTGTGTCGGTAACCCCAGCTGTTAGAGAGACATCCGCCCATCGTTCAGAGATGAGGGAAGGAAACGGGATGCCTTCTAAGGCCGGGGTAATTTCCAGGGACTGACAGCAGATAGTTTCTCACAAACCTTTTTTTTCAACATCCATAATGTTCCTTCAGCTATTCAAGACTATTTGTTCTCCTGACTTTATTTATAGGTACCAGATTTATCACTGGTGTATTTCTTACTATTTGTTGCAGGTAATATAAGTAAACATACAATACATACAGAACCAATAGGAAGGGCAATTGGATACAGATGTGTTTGAAGTGCAAGTGTCCAACACCTTTTATGATTTGCAAATGTATATACCAGCTGTTTTCGACGAACAGTTGAATGATATTAGCGTATTGCAAGAAATAAAGACTCTTCTAATGTGCTCTTCTGCTTTCAAGACTTTAGATAAAAGGGATTGAAATACATAACAAACCCTAGAGTACACCACTGCACACATTATTTGCATAATCTCCCATGATTCCTGGACATTTTCTTTCATTAAAGGAGTTC